TATCCAGCTGGGAGACAGCACTGTGGAGCCCCCAGCAGCAGTCCCTGCAGAAACCTGGTGCCACCACTGTGGTCAAGCAGTGGCTGGAAAGCTGCTGGCAGAAGCTGGCATCGTCAGTGGGAATTGCTCCTCTTGCCACAGCAGACGGTATCTCCCTTGGATTTGCACTGTGCGCTTAAAGCAACCTGCTGGCAGGGATTTACTGGCTGTAAAGGAGAGCTGGGCTCGCTGTGACTCCGCAGCCCCACGCAGCACAAGCTTGGCTCCTTTTAACCCCCGAGATCGTGAAGGGCTAGGCACTCCTTGGCCATTTGCAGCTGGCGAACCCTGGCCTTCGCTAAGCCGTGCCGATGGAGGAGGGCAGGGGAGCAGTAAGTAATAATGTCACCATCAATCACCGATTGCCACGGGGAAGCCTCGCGCAATTCATCTTAAATGCTGTTGCCCGAGTGCTGTAAATATTTTATTAATGGCTGCCTCAGTCTGCAGCGTTTCCATGATTGCTCACGGTGTGGGTTATCAGCCAGGGAAGCCATGGAGCATCCTGTTTCTGTCCCCCCTGCGCTGACGGGGACTGGGGGCAGCTGCAGCAGCCCCTCCGCACAGGCAGGACCCTCGGCGGTGGGAGGTGATGCACATCCCCAGTTCCTGCCCCGGCTCAGGCTCCCTCGTCATGTCAGAGCAGGGCAGGGCACTGGCCATGCCAGGGTAACCTGCTGTCAAGAGGCTTTACCATTTCTCCTTGCTCTGCTTTCACCATTCAGCGTCTGCAGGACAAAAGCCTCTTCAGCACTAATCCTGCCCGGCCCTTCCCAGCGACGAGCGAGCGGCTCAGGCATAATGCCAGCGCATTTAGCACCTCCCTGTACTTCAACTTGCTGTGGATTATTTTCCACAATGGAGCAACCCACAACCCATCAAATGACTTGTCAGGCACCCTCACGAGTAAAGTAACATTCTCAATCAAAAGCATTGCATCTTTCTTTTTTGTCCCCACGGGGCAGCAGCCCAGGTGAGAAGGGGACGTGAGTTCCAGAGTCGCTTGACTGTGCTGGGCACTCATCCAACGCTCTCTGTGGGACCCCTGTAACACCCCTGCCACTGCGCGGCTTTTTAAAAAAAGCAAAGGCAAACGAGACAGAAGGGAAGAGCCTTCCCTTCCCCCGTCCCCTCCTGTAAGTAATTTTCCCTGGCCTATTTTACAGGAACTGAAAATCTATTAGAGGAATAGCTTAATCCGGTTTGACTGTAATAATTAGGGTGCTTTAAAAAACCCCTGACTAATAGTATAAAATGTGATTGTAGACAGTTCAGTGCATGACCCTTATGCTTATCACTCGAGGTATTATTACAAACCAGAAACAGCTGGCAAGCACGAAGGAGGATAAAGGGGAAAAAAATTTCATATGCAAAGGGACTGGGACTGTTCCTTTTCTGATCTTGTAACAGACACTGTCAGCACCTTGAGCTGTCTTTCTAACATAGATCCAAGGCTCTAACGTGGATCCAAGGCTCTGGACAGACCCCTCTGGTTTTGCCAACACTGCTCCATCATCCATGGGGTCCTGCCGTCGGCACCTCCTGTTCTCACCCTGTTTTTGCAGGCAGTCCAAGAGGATTTGAATCAGGGGTGGAGCGATTCCCCTCGGGGCATGCTGCAGTCAGCAGATGTTTGTAGCAACAATCGGCAGCTTTTCCAAAACAAGACAGTCTGTATTAGTCAAGGAGGATGTAGTGCTTCAGGGTCATTGGGTTACAATCAAAAAGCAGTGCTTGCTTCCATGTCCTGGCTGGTAGCAATCTCTTTTTCTCTTGTTCTTGATCTTTCTCAGGCTCAAACAGCCCCAGTTTCTTCCTTCCCTTCCCAAGCCTAGGCTGGGGGGCAGCTGAGTTCCCATCACAGCATCACCACACCTTCAGTAAAGCCATTTTTTTCCCACATGTTTTGCCAGTCATTCCACAGGATCGCTGCCTGTTCAGGATGCCCTTGTCCCCACAAGAAGAGCTCATTCATGTGCTGGCACTCTTGTGCACCCCTTTGTGCATCCCTTCCTACCAGTCCAGATAGGACAAACAGTCCAGGCGCCCATCTCCTGCATGACTGTCTTGGAAGAGAAATCAACTCTTCCAGTCCCAGTGGCCTAAAAGCATATTTTTGTGGAGAATCCAAAATCTGAGCCCACTGCAGCATCTAGTACAAAGGAGAAGATTGGCCCAAAGGGACTCGTGCTTTAGCGGGGCCGGTCACAGATGAAGAGGATGGAGCTGACTTGACCTGGCCACCAGATAAATGCTGGGAGAAGCCCAGAGAAGGCTCTTGTTCACTAGTGCCATCCAGGGCTGAGGCTGAGCCCTCACCCAGGCACTAGCTCACAAAAACACTACTCTGCAGGGCCAGTCAGGAGCTTTAGATGCACAGAGAGATGACAGCCAGGATGAGTCTGCACTGTCACAAATATGCTACTTTAATCAGCATTAAAAACATATGATCAACCCTGAAGGAGGCTTTTAAAGACTGAAATAAGATGATGTACTGCAATTCAATATACTCTCTCTCTCTTACTGTGATTACAATACGTGCTTGATCCTGGAAGCTCTACTGCAGCGTGTACAAAACCTGTACTGACACCGTTCACAGTAATGGGAGTTGCAGCTGGAGTTGGGTGGCTTGGTTTCTTTTGCTGTCCCATGAGACTTGCTTGGGCCTTTATTTTTTCCATCCTGCACCACACAGAAGTTGATCTTTTCTTTATTAAATAGGAATGGTTACCCCCACTGACTCACTTATCTAATAATAGCTAGAACCTTTTAATTCAAATGATTTGTTTCCTGGGTTTTTCAGACTAAAGCAAACATACGGCTAGAGCATTGCTGGGAGAGTGGCAATAGAAATACCATGGTCAAATTATCCTGTGACTCAGTTCTGCAAAGCGCACTGAATCCCTTTTAATATGTTTCACAAGTACTCGGTGGTGACCTCTAACACCAGAGTGGCTTCTCCTGCGGTAGCTCAATTTCACAACTCTGAATACACTTTTTTTTGGAAGGAAAGCCATCCAAGGTTTGGGATATTTTTTTTTTTATAAAATGTTCTTTAGCCTTTGGGAATGAGCCAGTTTAATGCCAGGGTATCATTCCGTTTCAAAGAGTCGAAGGACTTGAGGAAACACAGTCTGCTTTCTGAACAATGTGAGATGAATACAGCTGGGGTTTCATCAGAAACCAAGCTGCAGAGTTTGGATACAAAGCTCAACTTTTCCAAAGTCCAGCTGTGGCTCTTGGTCTGTCAACTGTATTTCCTTGCAGCAGGCTTTCTGCAACGGCTCAGCTTAGGGAGCCAGCTCCAGCGGAGCTGAGCGCGTGCATGTTGTAATGCAAGTAGATGGCAAAGCAGACGTTGCTGCCAGCCAAAGGTTCAATCATCCATTGGCCTTAAAACGAGAGGGAAGTCCCTCTGTAGAGTCAAGAATCACCAATAATAAGCAAGCACCGCTTGCTTTGAAGATCACCTTGGGTTTAATTGCTAGTTTTTGGTTTGCAATTGAAAAGGGGTCAGGAACATATGGAATCAACCCCCCAGCCGTTAAAGGGGAAAATAGCAAGCTCTGAAAATGCTTCCTGAAAGTCAGAGTCACCTCCGATCCTGCACAAAGACGCAGTCTCCGCACTCAGCACGCGCACCGCGCCACTCGCCGCCTCCCGGCCCGCAGCACGAGTCACCAGAAAATAAACCTGCCGGAGCCACAGAGACGCTCAGTCACATCTAGCTTTTATTTAATCCCGTCAGAAAAGTTCAAGAATTACACCAAAAAATACTTCAGTCTCTGCTACCTACTGACAAAAAATACACCACAAAATTATAAACTGTTCAGTGGTTTGCTGGAGTTTTGATTGTTGGTGGAGGGGGTGGTTTGTACATTTTGAGTGAGGAATGAATTTACAGGTGGAAGGGAAGTCAGACAATGGCATTTGGCACTACATTTTTAGCTACGCTATACAGTTATTTATCATGATGCCTGTTAGGACTCAGGCGTTCTGCCCTCATCCACACCCTCTAGTGTCTATGTATGCGAAATGGAGGACAAAACTGCCCAATGCGGGGGAAGAAGGGGCCGGTTCCTAATTTCCATCCCAGTCTAACCACAAATCTGAAAGAGCAGCCTTAGTCAAAAGCGAACCATGTCCTCCCTGTGCGCTCTGCTCCTGCTCAGTCTCGCCCTGCCTGCGCTACCGAGGGGCAGAGCCGCTTTGCAGCAATGGCTTGCAGCTCTGAAAAAAGAGAATCCTTTTTTTTTATTTTCAAATCCTACCAGTCTGCAGTAATTGCACATGCCATGTGTGGGGAAAGGATGTTTTACTTTGGCCAGGACTGGATGAAGCTTGGGGTCTGGTCTGTGTCTGCAAGCAGGGATTTGATGGGACCCTTGTACTCTGAGAGCGTGCTACGGCCATCCCTCTCTAATTACCTAGGATGACATGACATACTGAACCAGCTGAAGTTGAAGGGGGGAAGCAGGAGCATCCCATTTCATGGGTGAGGGAAAATTAGGGGCTGAATAGATAGAGGTTTAATAGTGTTCTCTACTATCACTTTCTTGAGAGGCTCCTCAATTTATGATGGCATTTCTTTGTCTCCTGGTGACCCTCTGGAGGGAGGTCCCAACGGATGAAGCCTCACATAACTTGTCAAAGGTCATGCAGAAAATCTGTGCCAGCAGCAGAAATAAAGCCCTGATCTCCTGACTCCTGGTCCTGTGCTCAGAAGTGTATTAATGATTTCACTAGAGCAGCCTCCGCCTGCTTCCATCCTGCTCCATATCCAAACAGCAACCAGGATTTCAGCCTCAGAGCCCAGCCAAGGTCACCAGCACGGTGGTGGCTGATTACAAATGCCTAGATCGTTCTGGATTTACCTAGACCACTGCACAGGGAGGTGTATGCACGTGTGTTTGCACGTGCCTGTGTTTGAGGGAGGAGGGGATGCTTGCATTTCTCTATCAGCAAATGAACACTGATGCTAGATTCAATTTGACAGCAAAATATCCTCCCTTTGGCAAGCTAAACGACATCACAATGTCTCTGTACCAGGTTCCCTCTACCCCCTCTCTCGAAAGGATTTCAGCTGTTCCTTCACTGCATGTTAAGCTTCTGCGTCAGCTTCCCAGCAGTGCTAAAACTTTGCGGAATTCTCTTTGCTGCTTTTACCCTCTCCTGGCTGTTTCTCTAATTTGCTTTTTTTGTTTTTTAATTTCTTTTTCTAACAAATAGTTAAGCAATGATTTAAAAATATTTTTACATCGTAAGGTACAGTCAACATCAAACATGCCTTTGTACAAGAGCTCGACTGGTTACAAATCAACGAGAACAATGCACAAAAAGAAATATCCATTAAGATGACTCCTGCACATGGGTTTTATTTATTCCTGTTGTGCTGTTAGCACAGCACCCTCAGCTAGAGCGATGCAGTATAGACATGGTGTTGTCCCCCCCCACCCTCCCACTTTGCCCATCACCACTCGTTAACTTTAATGACCTTCTGTCTTGGCAGCCTTGGCTTCATGGTTTACCGATCCTGAAGACAGCCAGGGCGATACGGCCCGGGAGCTGGTCTGCTTGGCCATGCTGTAGTGGCTGATGACAGTGTAGAACCTGCCCCGGGAGTTGGAATCCTGTGCGGAGTAGTACGCGTCCAGCGAGGCCGGGATGCACCGCTTGTGCTGGAGGCAGGAAGAAAGCAAAAAGGAAAGAGAAAAGTAAAGGTAAAGAGTGGTCCCATCAGCCTCAGGCTCTCACTTTAAAAATCTCAGGGTTAGCTGCTCGCACGGATGACGCTTGACTCAGACTTGCTGCTGCGGGAGCGTCTGCTGCATAGCCCTGCCTGCCTTCCTGCGCCGTGGGAATGCACAAAGTTTAGAGCCGGGCAGAAGCTTTCAAAACCTGTTGCTATTGGCAACCCTGATTGCAGGCTGATTTCGTCCGTGGATGGGAAATGGGGACTGTAAAATGAAAGTCTGAGTGGTTTGGCATGTTACTGGCACGCACAGAGACGGAGGCCGCTCGCCAGAGTCCTAGCAGGGCTGGCTGAGCAGCTCTTACCATGTGCTGACCAAAAGCTCTGTAGAGCCAAGTCCAGAATTAATCCTCCTCAGACAAATGAGGACAGGCAGAGGCAGAGCGAGCTGCTTATGTGCAGCTCTGTTACAGGGAGCTCTCTCTGACCTGTAGGATGACCACCTCGGTCTGGCGTGGTAGGAAGCACAGCCCAGCTGGGCAGCCCTGGTCAGAGCGTTGCCCACGCCTCTCTGCTGCTGCAGACACTTGTGTGCTAAGAATTGTGCAGATAAAACAATTCACTTTGCAACAGCTGTAAAAGAGCAATTAAATGTCGGATGGGTTGGTATCCACCGGAGTCAAATTAGTGCCGAGGACACAAGGGGCCTCAGGTACAGTTATTACTAAATTATGAGATACCCCAACTCTCAGTTCAATGTGACTAGCTGAAACCTGAGCCCAAAACCTTTAATGTTTTCAGATGGTCGGGTTTGGATCTGATTCTGAAATTCATGACCCCATCTTAACTTCATTTTCATATAACCTAACAGAATGATTCGCAATGACCAATACACCAAGATCCTTACTCTATTTTCCAGCTCGCAGATTATCCCTGGTGTGGTCAGGACTCCTGTGAGGTTATGAGTTTATACACAGTAAGGAGCCACTGAACTATTTTGCAAACCTTTTTTTCTTTTTTTTTTTTTTAATCTCAACAGCCCAGGGAGATAGTTCTTTCTGAATATTCTATATAAATCCACTGGACAGCAGGGTTTTAGCAATTAAGTTACATGGGTTTGTTCTTGGTGGAAGTTCAAAAGCATCTAAAAATTAACTACCTGGGCAAATTCTGATTTCTTTCACAAAGGACAGATGTGCCAGCTCTCTAGGAGTTTGCTTTGCATTAAAATGTATGCCAGTAAACCTCAGTCACTTGAACGTGTGGGAAGCAAATGCAGGATTCCAGCTGCGATAAATCCATTCACAAATATGAGGGATTGTTCCTGAACATCTGTCTGTAGTGTTCACCAAATGTTAATCCCAACAATTACAGTGTAACAGTAGCTGATGGAGGCAGATGCAAGTCCACATTTCCCATAACACTTTTCCCATTTCAACACATTCTTGCCAAATGGTTTGGCCTGGTCAAAAAAAGCAGACTAGACTGTAACCATGTAGTCAATTAGAGTCTATCATTATCTCAGGCAATTCATCCATCTGAAGTTTCTTACCTTATAAACAAATCCATCTGGGCAACTGTGGTCGTAAGTAAAGGCTTTGTACACCACAAGAAACACTATGCAGGCAAGGAATGCAAGAGCCAGACTTATGAGAATAGTGACCTACAAAAGAGGGATAATGTTACTCTACATATGTTAAAATGGCATATGAGCAACCTCATAATTAAATGACTTATAGTAACAGCCATCCTAACAGACTGCAGTCTTCACTCCACTGTGCAGTACTTAACTAAGCATGGTAATTGAATGAATGCTAGATCCAATAGCCCTGAATTCTCACATCATTTCCATCCCCCCCCCGCCAAGACCTTCAGGGGTGCACATTCCTGCGTTTAACTCCTTGGGAATGTAGGGATTTTACCGAGGCATTTGGTGTTCTTGGTGGCTTTGTGTTCCCATGCTCTCAGCTGTTCGGCCAGCAGCATCATCTGCTGCCCCAGCAGGATCAGCCAGCAGCCAGAGTCCACATTCGGGGTCTAATCTGTGCAGATAAACTGCTTTATAACCATGGCAAGATCCTGCTTTCCCGAGAGCAGAGGTAGGTGAGCAGGGAGGAAGAATGAAGTCTTTGTACCACACATCCCTTTGTGCCTTCTGGGCGATGAGACAAGGATAAGTTGTGCCTTGAGTACCTTGCAGAAGGGAGGGCGGGAGAAAGGGAATCCTTCTCTATTTATCAAAGCTGTAAAAGGAGAATACCCCAACCACTGACAAAGCCCAGCATGGAAATCTTACAGCATGTCCAAGAGCAGAGGCTGGTGTTGGAGGTACCAGACACAATACCCTCTTTGGGGCTCAAATATTCCCCCTCTCCTCATTCCCAAGCAGGTTACTTTGCTGCACCATGCTGTTTCTTTGCTGTAGCTCCCTTCTCTCCAGCCCTTCCAGGTCCCTCTTAATAGTTTATTCAACAGTAAGTTTCCTGTCCACACTCAGAAGTCTGGTCTGAGGCCATGATCCTTGATTTTAGCTGAGCTGTGTCCTCTCTAAGGGCTCAGCAAGGGTCCCAAATGCACTCTCACTCTCCACTTCCTCAAAGCTTTCTTGGTCCCAGCTGGTAATTCCACAAATGCAGCATAAATGGCTCTGGACTGCTACTGCCCAAATTACAGCAACCCATCCTGTCGAGACTGCCGTCTCACACTGATCTGGATTGGCATGAAAAAAATACCATAATCCCTGGGGCTCCACTGTTACCATGCAAACTAGAGCTCCGAATCAAATGAACTCACTTACAGAGATGATGGGGGTGGGAACACTTCAGGGGAAACATTTAAAGCTGTGTCACAGCCAGCAGCATGGGGACATGGGGAGGGAGCTGCGGCAGCTCCCCAGCTTGCTCTGGCTCGCTGGGACCAGCAGCACACATTTTGCAAGATGTCTGCCTGCACAGGGAAGAGGATGCAGTGTTCCTTTCCCCAGTGAGGCTGTGAAAACTCATGCTGGGGAAGTTCCTACAGGAAAAGTCAGGCATGGATTTACAGGAGGCATAGCGATCAGTGGAGCTTTTTCCTACCCACAACCTCGATCTGTTCACTTCAGAATTCCACTTTGCCATCATGGCACCAGAAGCTGAGCCCAGGGCTTCAAATTTTCCCTGGTCACATCAAAACCCATCCACTGAGGGAACCGCAATGGTAGAGTGTGGCAGGGACTGTGTGCCTGCCCGTGGCGAATGCCCCTGCCTGCAGGCATGCTACTGCTGCACCGTGCGTGTGCTCAGCCTCAAAAAGATGCCCTCCCCTCGACATCAGGGCTGCACCTACCAGTGCTACAGGCAATCGTAATGTACCACCCTAGCAGGGAAGAGCCACAAATTTTTCAGCTCCATCCAGTCATTCAGGGTTCATCCACCCTTTTGTTGCTAGTTATGTCACAATCCTCTTTATTTTCCTGTGCGGGTGTTCAAGGAAATTGAATGGTAGGTACAGGCAGAAGTTGTTCCTTACTAATGTATAGGAGTTGTGATGGTAGAAAGTGGGGAAATACAGAGATAATTCCTACAGTATAGTGGACAGGCTTGTCAGGAACAGCAGCTAATAAGGAGCAAGCTGGCCACATCTCAGAATCCATCAACATACTACTATTAATATTACAGTAATATTATGTAATATTAGTAATAGTATATCAATAAAGATACACTAATTGCTTAATATTGTTTCACACTGAATTTTACCCTAATTTTCTGTTTCGGTCATTGTAGCAGCTGCAATTCTGAAAATCTGGATGATATGCAATCCCTGCACAGACTGAGAGGGGTCACTGAAAATTGCACTGGCTGGTGAGATGCATTCCTACGTCTCACATGGCACACTGGCACTATGACTCAGAGAAGCTACAGCAGCCCTGGCAATGCCACCTGCAATGCTGGAAGATCCAGAGCTACAATTATGGTGTCTGTTTTAAGACAAAAAGAAAGAGTGAAGGTAAACTTGCATGTATGGTGTTAAATCTGGCCCAACAAATCCTGTTGAAAAGTCAGGAAAGAGAGAGGTGTGGAGACTCTGTCTAGCAGGAGAGATTTCTAAGTTCATTGTTAAGTCAGAGTATTTTAGAATAAAGTATAAAATGCTAAGAAAATTGGGGCTAACAGGCTTTTCCAATGATGAACAGTTCACTGAAGCCCCGACCCACCTTTCAGAATAACTGCTTATATTAACCTCCTCCTTGGGGCCTAATTTGCTGCAAAATGGGTCAATTAAGCAAAAAGCAGCTGCAGAGGGAGAAGCACTTACTGCTGGATCTCATCAGAGAACATGTGTAAGAGTCCTGGTGTGCTGAAAAGGTAGCTGGTAGAAAAGGAGTACAGATGTGTGTACTGCACTGGTCTGACCAAGAAAAGATGGGCTCCACCTCCTCTTGATCAAAGCACACTTTCCTGCAAGTTTGAATGGGAGTATTTCAGACCAGCTTTGTGGTAGCCAATGGGTTCCCAATCTGGGGAAGCCATGTCCCTTTTCACAGTGTTGAAGAAGTCTCTATTGAATTTAAGGGAGATGGAAATGGAATTTGCCATGATTTCTGTCTCGAAGAGAAGTCATATTAAAAAGAAAGTTTAAATGTCACTCTGAAAAAGTATAGTCAAAAGGAGAGAATTCCTGGATTAAGCCTGCCAACACCCTCTACTTTTTCCAACAGGAGACCTGGGAAAAAGACCCTTCTCCAACAAGACCCATCACGACCCAGCTCTGGCAGGCCAATGTGGAAGACCATTTCCTCCTGTAGAATAATGTCCATCAACTCTTCCCCATTTAAACGAGGAGCATGGTACTTCCTCTGATGACAACTGACAGAGTAATACAAAGATGACAAAGAAACAAGTCCCCTTTGAGGTTACTCTGAAGACACTAAAGCGAGACATACATCTTGCTCTACATCTTGCTTAGAGAGCAACCCTGGCTAGCAATTCAGAAAGTAAGAAACGCTCAGTGCTCTGGTTTGGTTGCTCTCTCCTAAATACGATGTATGGTGAAAAAAAGAAATCTTGCTTAAGTTAACCTGAAGGAACAAACTTGTGCTCAGGGCAAAGGAAGAGACAAAGGGCAATGAAATTACACCTCCTGCCACCTGGGAATGCATAGAGCGTAACTCAGGGAGAAAGTACCTCTTGTTCCTGAGCAGTTACAAGCTGCTGATCCTCTAGCTTTCTGTGGTAAATACAACCTTCATCACCAGGGCTACCAACAGCTGCACACCAGCAGCACACACACATCCTGCACACACAACCCCTCCTGCCCTAATGTCTCCCTCACTCCTTTCTCCCCTTCTGCATCACAGTTCCCCCATCCCAGAGGGATCCCTCGGGGCTGACCGCACCTAGAGAAGAGTCTGTGAAAGGTGAATATCCCTGAACAATGTGGTGTCTCCCTCACCCACAATGACTGTGTCCGCCTTCCCCAAGAGTGGCCACCAAAGCTGCTTTGAAGGTTTGTTACTCAGAGCCAGCTAAAATAGCCAAGTTCTTCCTCTAGCATTCAGAAAAAGAAAGAACGGAGCTGTCTGGAGCGAGAATGAATGTCCCTTCTTTTGTTAAATCCCACGTACACGCACAGCCTATGGAAATGGCCATTAGTAATGTGATTTGACTGGTTCCTTTCCTCTTGTCTGCCCACTGAGCCCCTAAAAAGAATAAATGCCCCTCTGCTCTGCTGTTCTGCTCCAGCAAAGTGCTGACACCCAATTCATTACCTCCCAGGAGCAGGTCCCTCTGCTGAGCTCTCTCCCCCTCCTGGGTGTAATTGAGCCCATTCTCACCTCCCTCCCGCCGTTTCATGCACTTGCAAAATTACAGCGTGACACAATATTACACACGATGATACATAGTGTAAAATTGCTCTGGGATGAAATGTCATGTAAGATCTTAAAACCCAGAGGGAAGGGAAGAAAAATCCACCCCTGGCTATTTAGCCACACCAGAGCTAAGATCCACCTCTAGCTGTTCCAGAGCATACAAAGCTTCATTAACATGCAAACACCAAAGAATCACAGAGCTGCAATACCTAATAAACCTTCACTTTTTTTTATGATTAACACGAACCTTGGCAGTCTCTAAGCACTATAAACACTCACAGAGGGGAAATAAAATTTAGTGAGCAGATAAAACCTAGGAGTGCTGCAGGCATGAATCTGTCACGTGTGACTGCTCGAGTGGGTAAAAGAACAGGGGGGATTTGCCCACCCCTTCCCCAAAGTCTGATATGATTCCCAAATGTTCCCTTAAGTGGGGAGTGTCTGCTGGAATGGAGAAGAGAGAACATCGTTACCACACCAAAAAACTCCCCAGCCTCCACAGAGCAAGGGAAGAGGCCCCTAACATCCGTGAAAGATGATGTCAACCTCCCATCAACAACAGCGCGCTTGGCTTGGTTCCTCCCCCCCTTTCCCGTAGATGAGGTACACGTTGCATTTTCACAACAGCATGGATGAAAAAAAAGATATCTCCTCACAGGCAGCAGGACATATGTTGCCACTAGTGGGATGTTATCTAATTACAATGGTGTTCCGGTGAACCTGGCTTTCCCGCTGTCCATGGAGACATCCTTCCTATGCCCTTTGATTTCAACAGCTGCCATGATTTATTTTTTTATCCATCAAAAATTCCC